TTATTGCAAGGAACCACCCAAATTGGCTTAACTACGGAATCCAATTGGTGGGCGAATGTATAATGAGCGTTCGGTCTTTTACTTGCGCTTCTGCAAAGTTCACTTAATTTATCAGGATTTAGTTTCAATCTAGTCTAGCTCTGTGTTTAATCTGACTCCAATTTCAAGTGATAATTAAATTTAGGCTGTATTTTTAATTAAAAACTTAATCACAAATATCGATTATGTATTAGGCTAATATAGATTTTTGATTATTCTAGACATCCCGTAGCCTAATTTCAATTATTCGTTCATTAAGGACCCGGCATCGCTTAGTAATTCAATTGGCCAACAGTGAACGCACGGACACAAACTCGCCAGTTCTCTACTTACTTCGGTAGGCTACTTAATGGAGGATACAGGGTGATTATTACCTTTAACCAGGTGGTATGCACCCTGCTAGCACATAACAAAAAGTGGACTTTTTTCTATAATCATGAAAACTGTAACTTGCTCCATTCGTAGGATCTATCCTGGACGCAGATTTGCGGAAACACCAGACTGCACTTTAATCTTCAAATAATGATTTCAGAAGAGATCAGAACAAATAAAATATAACAATTTATTATTTGTCAGGTAAAAATGTATCATCCCAATTATCATTAAACAAAGAGGGGAGAAGGGGGTCATAAATGAGCAAGGAGATAAGTTTGGTCATGGTGGTGTCATTTTACTCTCTTTGGAGATCTCTCCATTGTTTTGTTGCATGCCATCTGTTCGGTTTCATAAAGATAATTTGGGTTCTTATATTATTATTACAGCTTCAACTGAGGATTCTTCCTCTAGCACCTCCGTAAAACCAAGCCTGCGGGGAAGATACTTACTATGAAAATTGTCTTAAATTGTGTTATACTGCAGAAATCACAGTCTGAGCGCAATCATTTAAAAAAAAAATCTGAATAATGATCAATGATACGCACTTGATTTAGAAAATGGCTTAGAAACCTACATACAGCAACTGTCGGACCCGTTCGACATCTAGGCTACTGTAGGCCTACCGCTGCCGCACATGAGCTGTTGGTGTTGTGCGGCTACTGTACAGTACATTACGCATCCAGTCTCGAACGCAATGACCATAAAATGCGCACAAATTACTGTTTCTTAAGTCTGATGATGATCCGTAAGTTAATTTATACAGCTGCCTTTTCATCGCATCCTGATCCCGGAAAGGGAATCAGCGAGAAATGTATGGTTGCCATGACTATTTCACACACTGGTTACTTATCTATCATAAAAGCGCTTATTATATTTATTTTTGCAATAAGTTTTAATAATATTAATAATATTTAAAGAGGTTTACCGCACCACCACTTTTAAGACAAACTTACGAGACTGAATAATACTTATATATATATATATATATATAATAGGCCTACTTAGGTCTATTATTTTATGTGTTTTTCCGCTGGAAGTGCTACCACGCCCAGTGCCTACCTAGGCTAAATTACGGTGGCCGAGAGAGCTCAACGTGCTGCAATTTAAGAAAACACATGCAAATTGAAAAAACACCAGCAAATTAAGAAAACATCTTCATCAGTTTGACAACACATGCCCTGCAAATCCTCACAACACATGCAAATGAAGAAACGTGCTGCAAATCCTCACAACACATGCAAATAAAGAAACGCGCTGCAAATAGCACGGACCACAACGGAAATGTTTCAAGGGGACCCAACAAAGTGACGGACCCGGCTGGGATTTGCTTATTGTGCTGTGGCTATTGGTCAGTGGAGTTGTCGGTGAAGCGAAAGGTGAGTTTTTTTGTTTATTTTAACACCCTGATTGCATGATTCCTTTGTCTTTTGTATATTATTAGCCTAAATAATCTGACGAATTACACGATTAACTGTGAAACGTTATTATATAAGATGGCTAACTTAACTGAATATCCTCAACTAAATATAATTTCAAGGTTAATGAAAATCAATCCGCAATGCTTCATTGTTAAAACCAGGTCCAAATAAATTGCAGATTGACAGTAAGAATAATATTA